ACCCCCGCTGTGCATACATCCTGAGATAAGAGGTCTTCCCAGGGGGGCTTAACAGCGATCAGGGACCGACCCAAGGTGCGGGGGAACAACAGAAGAGACACTTGGGGGGCCGTTAATCAACCAAGGAGGAAGAAGATAAACTTTAACACTACATACGTTGTTTTAAGTGTGCAAACAAATGTTCAGGAAAGAGACTGAGATCAATAGTACTCATAGCAAAGTGCAGTCCCTCAATAGTTGCAACACAGATACTTGAGATAACAGTTCCTCTTTTGATGTTGACATGTCCTCTGGAGGGGTCCTAAAAGTGGTGGGGGTGAGGGGGTACCAAAGGTGATTGTAATCACAGTAAGCAGGAAATACCTTCAACAGCATTCTACATTGTTTCTTTCAAATCCAGCTAACAGAGAGGAATCATATCTTAACAACACACACACGCCTCTTTCTCGCTGTCGTGTTGACAGTGTGCATTGTACCGTCATTGCATCTTTCACTAACAGTCTTTGTGTCCCTCCATCTCTGTCTTTGCACTTCCATCTCTTCTGCTGCGTCCCACTCCTTCCCTCATGCCCCCTCCCCTTTGGTTGCCTGCTTGCAGGCAGCCCGAGCTCTGCAGTTGCAGCGATCCCCCTCATGTGATGCTCCGTTAGCAGCCACTACGGAAGCAGGTAAACAGGAAGAGGATGGCACAGGAATGGAGCTCAGCAAACTCCTCGACCAAATCAGAGCTCAGTGCAACCTGAACAGACCTCCTAACCAGAATGAGAGGCATCTTAGTCCGGGTACAAGCTCACACTGGTTTCACAGCTATCCTGGGCCGAGCCAGTCTGAAGCTGGAGCTGCAGCTGCATCAACAACAACCACAACACATTGTGGCGCTTACAACAAGGTACACATCTCTTCCTGCATCTTCGCTCATCATTTGATTTTCCTGCAGAGTTGTTCTGGCCCATAGCCAACAGACTCAAAGCTGGCCTGTAGGAGATGAATGCACAGTCAAAGTTTGAGTTCTAGGGCTTGCTCTGTCTCTGTCTGCTTGGATAGAGAATGTCTTTGTGCAAATGTTCATCTATGTATGATTACTTCAGGGTCACTTAAGATAAGAAGCATAGTTTCCCATGAGTACTTGGCTGTAAATTACGATTGCTCAGCAGAACTTTGAATGTGAATTAACCCGTCATACTATATTGGGTTGCTTTTTGATCTGTGGTATATGATTTTGCTTTTCTATTACAGTAAATATTCATATCACTTAAATGAAACACGACACTGAAACAGAGTCACACTCAAGATTCTATTCTAGTTTTGTTTTGTTTTTTTCTCCCAATGTGTCAACATTGTTATAGCAGAGACACAGCATGAATGGATGTGTTTGAAACGCCCAGCAGCTGTGCAGTGTGTCAACACAGCTGGCACAACTGTGTGTGAATACAAACTCAAAGGTCGGCACTGCTGCTTTTTCATATAACATACAAGCCACACAGCCTATCAGGTCTTTTTCATTTGACTCTGTGACAGTTGCAATTGTGGGGGCTATTTGAAATTAGTCCCCATTGTGCCTTTTTTTCCTTCTTTTTGAATAGATCTGTTCAAAGAATCTACGCCAGACACTCCACTAACACATACCTTATGTACCTTCTTTACTTTCATCTCACCCAGCACGAAGCAGCATGGACACAGGTTAGCCTCGGCAGCAATGCGCTGAGGGAGGCTTGGGCAGATTTAGCTGAGGCCCGGAAGCAGTGGCACTCCCTTCAGGTGGAGATTGAGACCCTGCATGCCTTGGTGAGAAAGCGCAAACAATCCACCAATATTCGTATTTGAGAAGGCAAATGGTACAACCACTTTGCAGATGTGATCACATATGAAAGTAAGAACAAAAAATACTCAGGCCAAACAAAAAAGATAGTGTGTTTCCGGTAACATGAAATTTCAGCATAGGGTCGGTAGGTCGGACAAAGTTTTTATTTTTTTAATCTTTTTTTTTTCTGCCATCAAAAATTAAAACAAAATAACCATAAAACATAAAACAAGAAGACATTGAACCCGCTCCGCCGCCGCCCCCGCCGCTGCCTATTTAAGTTTTCTCCCCGCTCCGGACTCAGGGGGCCGGGGCGCGCCGCCGCCTCCGCCGTCCTCCTCCGCCGTCCTCCTCCGCCCTCGGTTTTTACTCAGCCCATGGTGTTCATCAAATAGTTCGCTGAATTTTTTCGATACATCAATGGATGCTATTTTCTTAACATTACGGTGCGAGCCTGCGACTGTAACAGAAAACGCGATTTAAACTGTCGTTGGAGATCGCGGCCGCCGCCATGCTTCAATGTTGTTGACAGACGACTGCGCAAACGATGCACGCGCTCAACGTGAATATCGCGAGAGTTTGCACCGATGTAAACCCTCTACACAAAAATGTAAGGGTTGTTTGAAAAAAAATGCCGACCATAAAGTTTTTTTTCGACGTAGAAATTCTCGGTCGGTCGGGTTACCGGAAACACACTACTTTTTTTTCTACGCCTCATCATCACATGCAATTCATCCGGTCACGTCATTAGCTCTGTAGGCGAGTATTATTCCATTGAGCTGTGACTCATTTCTTTTGACGACTCACCTGCACATGTATTCCCCGGGGGATTACTCTAAAAACTACTGTAGTCTACCTGTTCGTATTAGCACATAGCACTTTTTTCCCAACACCAAACATTGAGGACACATGCATTCACAAAATATTCCATTTAAGCTCAGTGAGGACAACAGTGTTGAGCACTCGACTATGGCCATAGTTTTTCAACAATGTGACGTGGTTGAGCAAACCAGTGAACCAGACTTCAAAACAGCGAAAGGCAATGCGTACTCTTATTCGGAGGCAGCTAACCAAATGTACTACTGTGCAGCTGTGAAGGCCCACATTCACATTTATTGTATTTCTTAGACTACGAGGGTTCAGTCGACTCAATGCTTTTTCAGTGTCAAACAAGTGGACAACCCCCCCAAAAAAGCAATTTTTCGAAAATACCAGTGGCTTTGCTTCTCGTTGATTCTCCAGGAGAAAGGCCTTGAGAACTCCCTACACAACACCCAGCAGCTGTATTCCAGCCAGCTGCAGGAACTTTCCCAGGTGATCACTGGACTGGAGGGTGAGCTGGAGCAAGTGAGGAATGGACTGGCCACACAGCGTCAGCGCCACAGCCAGATGCTCAACACAAAGATACGACTGGAGCGAGAAATCTCCACTTACAGACGACTGCTGGAACAGGAGGAGGGCAGGTCTGGGATGAGAGGCACAGAGGATGGTTAAATTAAATGACTGTAGGAAACAGGGAGGAGGAACATTTTTCAGCAATCAACCACAGTAACGACTCACACGCTGTAAAAGCAATGTTTTTCATTGGATTCAGAGAGGCAACACATCCTGTCTGATAACATAAAATGACGAAATAATACAACACAATTCACTGCCTGCAATTACCTGTTTCATTAGGGGATTTTTTTTCCCTCTTAGAAACAATAGGTTTTACTGTGTGGCAAACAAAAAAACTTGTCCTTACAACTTAACAGACTGAGGAGAAAGCCTGTCTTATCTTGAAAGGTGTTTTCAGATGTTGTAATGTCACGGACATGCCATAGCAAGCAGAGTTCATAGAGAACACTAATTATCACAGCATTTGTTCTCGCAGGTTTAAATGGAGTGTTCATTCTATTACGGCGTTAGAGATATACTGTGTGTGTGAAGTGCCTCGATGGAGGAGAAGTGGGTGGTCTGGGATTCACAGCTTTGGTAGACTACATAATTCCCGGCATAGAGCATTGAGTTGATTTGTGGAAGGTGACGTCATACAAGACCACGGTCCTTTGTTGCCTGACTCTTTACATCAGCCTGTTGGGACTTGCTTTGATCATTGCAGTAATCTTTGGAAAATTATTTCTGCATGAAGTTCCTTTGTTAATGTCTCAGGTAAAAATGTCATCGCTTGCAGACCGACTGATCACAGTGACATTTTGCGGTTGGCAAGCTGGGACAGGTGTGTCACTTATTTTCACCATCGGGCCACATCGTAGTACCGGTAATTGTTTCCCTACTACGATTCTCAATTCATCTCAATTCAACTCAACTTTATTTAAAGAGCACTTTAATAACCACCGCAGCTGCATTCAAAGTGCTATATATATATATATGTGTGTGTGTGTGTGTATATGTGGATATATATATATAAAAAAAAAAAATCCTCGTCTCACCCCTCGGGTGGTGTCCATCCCTCATTCAGCTCGGGTCCTCTACCAGAGGCCAGGAAGCTTGAGGGTTCTGCGCAGTATCCTTGCTGTTCCCAGCACTGCACATTTCTGGACTGAGATGTCCGATGTTGTTCCCGGGATCTGTTGCAACCACTCATCTAGTTTGGGGCTCACTGCCCCAAGTGCTCCATCACTTGGGACCGCTAAGATGTCCGATGTTGTTCCCGGGATCTGTTTATCTATGATCACGATATCTGGTTGGTTCGCCATTACCAGCTTGTCAGTCTGGATCTGGAAGTCCCACAGGATCTTCGCTCTGTCATTCTCCACCACCTTCGGAGGTGTTTCCCATTTTTACCTTGGGGTTTCCAGTCCATACTCTGCACAGATGTTTCGGTAGTCTATGCCAGGCACCTGGTTATGGCGTTCCATGTAGGCTTTCCCTGCCAGCATCTTACACCCTGCAGTTATGTGTTGGATCGTCTCAGGTGCCTCTTTGCACAACCTACCCCTTGGGTCTTGTCTGGTGTGGTATATCTGGGCCTTAATGGCTCTGGTGCTCAGGGCCTGCTCCTGAGCAGCCAGGATGAGTGCCTCTGCGCTGTCCTTCAGGCCAGCCCTCTCTAGCCACTGATAGGACTTCTTGAGATCAGCCACTTCAGTTATGGTCCGGTGGTACATCCCGTGTAGGGGCTTGTCCTCCCCTGATGGTCCCTCTTCCAGCACCTCATCCTCTGTTCCCCATTGTCTGAGGCATTCTCTGAGTACGTCATCCATTGGAGCCTTCTCCTTGATGTATTCATGGAGCTTGGATGTTTCATCCTGGACAGTGGCTCTCACACTCACTAGTCCCCGGCCTCCTTCCTTTCGGCTTGCATACAGTCTCAGGGGGCTGGATTTGGGATGGAACCCTCCATGCATGGTTAGGAGCTTTCGGGTATTAACGTCCGTGGTCTGAATCTCTTCCTTTGGCCACCTTATTATTCCTGCAGGGTATCTGATCACTGGCAGGGCATAGCTGTTTATTGCCCGGGTCTTATTCTTGCTGTTGAGCTGGCTTCTTAGGACTTGCCTCACTCGCTGGAGGTATTTGGCCGTAGCCGCTTTCCTTGTTGTCAGTTCGAGGTTGCCATTGGCTTGTAGTATACCAAAGTACTTGTAGCTGTCCTCAATGTCTGCTATTGTTCCTTCAGGGAGTGAGACCCCTTCAGTGCGGACTACCTTTCCTCTCTTAGTCACCATCCGACTACATTTATCGAGCCCGAATGACATCCCGATGTCGCTGCTGTAGATCCTGGTTGTGTGCACTGTTCCCTCTAAGCATGGTTTGTGAGCAAATGCGCACTGCCCCCTGCGTGTCTGCGCACAAAGTATCTGGGCTGCGCACAAGGTAAAAATCCAACCAGTATTGAAAATAAAATAAATGCATAAATTATTCTGTATTATGCAACACGTGATTGGCTGTTCCAGGTTGTTATTTGACGCGATTCGCTCACGCATTTACGTCATGACGTTGTTCACTGTAGAAAGGTCTACTCTGCAAAAAGTGTTGCGAAGCTAAAGTAGCAAGCGAAAAAAGTGTGGAGCGAATGGAAACTGGACTACCTCAAGCGTCACATTCAGCACAAAAGTTATTTGGATGCAGTAAAAGTTGTACAACGATGCAAGATGGGAATGGGGATCGGTACGTTATTGGCAGAGAG